GAGCTTGATTGTGGACAGTCTATTTTTAGATATTGTCTATGAATTACATGTCTAAACATCGGCAGTTTTGGCTGTGATGCCTTTTACAAATCTCTCTTTTGTTGATAGGTTATGCATTAAAACAAATAACAACAATACAACAATAAAACATTGGAAGCGTTTACAAGATTGAGGGCAGTAATAAACAAAAATCAACATTTGAAGTTGACACTAGTTCAATTATAAAAGATAATGCAATACTACAGTGCGACAAAGGCAGTATTATGTGGGTAACGTTCGCCGTGCGCTAGTATCTGTTTGTTTCGTTTTCGGTGCTGTCGTGGTGGTGTACAAATAGGTTGAGTTAAGACTTAGGTGGTGTTTAGGGAGAGAGAAGTTTGGGGGTCATTGTACACGAAGCCCTTGGCAAGCATTTAAGTTTGAGCCATGACACGGTCAAACATTTCCTTATCGTTTGTTAGAAAGATACACCAACTGCCATCAGTTCTTCACCAACTGCTCGAAAAAGTTATCATAAAGGTTATTTTTTAAAAAACATTTTCTTTAGCTTCATTTTTTTAAAACGTTTCATCTTTATTCTATATTTAGCAGACGTTATGGTTTATTTTAAATGAAATATTACATATTTAATATTTAGAACTGAATTTTTAAATTTTAATTTCAGTGTGAAACTTTGATAACATGGAAACAAGGAAGAAATCATCTAATGCGTAGAATCGTAAACGCAAAGCTGAGGAAGATGCTGCTCTTCAGAAGCAGGTAGACGTAATGTCTCATTTCATAACAAAATGAAGACTTCGGACGTAAATGTTCACATTGAATCAGCATCAAAATCGATTACAAAAGAACAAACATCATCCAGCCAAAGAACATCAGCTACATTCAATGAAATTATTCAAAGGACTGATGAAACTCCATAGGAAGGGAATTATGATCCAAGCATGGAATTAAAAATGAATCGGAAGTTAATGGCTATTCAGATAATTCGATGGAAGAGACCTACATAAATGAATAATGCCTTTCTTCATAATGATTTTGATGATCCTGCAAAGTGGCCAAGTGTGGCCTGCAAGTTCATCATCTAAGCAAAGATAGTCAAAATGAAATGTTAAAAATTATTGGCAGCAGTATAAGAGAGAAAAATCTTACTGCCTCTTCTAAAAGCCAAGTATTATTCTATAATTTTAGATAGTACTCTCGATATTATTAGCAAAACTGAACAGATGAGTGTTGTCATACGTTTCGTTCTCTGCAGTGATGAAGTGGCAGAAGTCAAGGAGCATTTTTTAAGCTTTATTGAAGTTGATGATTCTACAGCTAACGGCCTATGTGAGACAGTAATGGAAATGTTGAAAATATGGAACATTCCTCTTGATGATATGAGAGGCGGGGGATATGACAACTTCGCAAATATGAAAGGAAAGAAAATAGGTCTTCAAAATAGTATCTCAAAAATAAATCCTCGTGTGTTTTACGTTCTTGTGCCGCTCCTAGCTTAAATTTAATGATTAACGATGCAGCAACGGTGAATACAGACAGTTAATTTCGACAATTCAAGAATTATGCAATTTATTTTTTTCTTCTCCTAAGCGATGGGCATTCTTTTGAAAAACATTTCCTGTTAACCTTAAAATCCCTTTCAAACAACCTTTTTGGGAAAGCAAAATTGAAGCCATTCGACTTTTAAGGTATCACCTTGGAGAAACTTATGACTTTTCGAAATATTTGAAGGTGAATGCTTTTCAAAAGAAGTGCAACATGAAGCACGTAGTCTGTGTGCCAAAATCAAGGATTATAAAATTATTTGTTCCTTGGTACTTTGGCACGACTTTCTTAACACTATTAATCCTGTCAACAAACAATTGCAAGAAAAGCGTTTGAGTGTTACACTAGCCTTAAAGGCAATACGTAACTTAAAAACATTCATTGAAAAATATAGAAGTGACATCAATTACAAAAGTATTCTTGAGAAAGGCCAAAGAACTTGGTGGCGAAGTGGATGGCGAGTCACAGTTTAAAACTGTTGAAGAAGTCGACGAAGGAAGAATAAATGTCACTTCGATTACGAACATGCTAACGAGTCTCCTCAATCTGCAGAAGTTTAGGGGAAATGTCTTTTTTAGAATTCTGAATATTGCTTGGGCATCATCAAGTGAAAGATTTGATGAAAAATCACTGCAATAATTTTAGTTTCGTGGGTAGTTTAGTGGAAATTGATAATGCAAATTTGAAAATAAAATGCAGTAAATTAGAAAAACTGTTACAGTGTGGTGACAATAAAGATATTAACGCAGAACTTTTTACAGCCGGTATGAATGACCCATTCGATATTCTGAACTTAATTGTGTCAAATAATTTGCGCTTCCCGAACTTGAAGATCATATTGAGAATACTAATTAGCATTCCTATTAGTGTTGCTAGTAGCGAAAGATCATTCTCCAAACTATAATTGATGAATATATATTTACGGTCAAGTATATCGCAAGAAAGACTCACAAATCTAGCTTTGATGGCCACTGAAACTGAAAAATCTGTCAACAGATAGATGCAAAAGAAATTATAGAAAAATTTGTAAACATGAACTGCAGAAAAATAAATTATTCTCAATAAACTGTTAAAAAAAATTCAACAAATGTTTTCTTCAAAATTTCCTCGTCCTATAAAAAATAAAACAGCGAGAGTGACTTCAGCTATTTTGCAGGCGGGCGCCGGACAACCTTGTACCGGCGCTGAATGTACTTGATAGCTTTAACTAACTAATCTACTAATGTTTAGCAATGAAACTCATTTATTCGGAATCATTGACGTAAAGTTCTGGGAGTGAATGGATATAATAAAAGAAGTAGTTGCCATTTTTCAAAGGTTTAAGATTATTTTTGTGATATTTTACTAAAAGTTTGGCCAAAAATTAGGAACAGTTTTACATGTATTTATAGAAAATAACCCCACACGCTAAGAATTAAAAGACACCACATTAAAAAAAAATTCTCATTAATTCCATTTGCCAGATCCTTCAAGGATGGGCATTGGGTGTAAGCACTTGCTAACTATGGCACTGTGCACACGCAACAATGTATTTAGATAGTTCATGATTGCACATCTCTTCATATATTAAACAAATATTGTTATTCACTTGTCCAAGCATCATACACTTCCCAAATATGATTCTAAGAGATAATACGAATAATTTTAGAAATATTCATAATCAACAAGACATTTATGCACGCTTTATATTTAATTTACATTGCATAAAATGATGTACAGAATAACATATACAGTATAAAGTCTTTCATCCGGACGTCCATAATCCGAACCTCAAAGCTACAAACTTTCTGCGCACGAGCGTTTACGCAAGCGCGTTTAATGTATAAAGGACGGTATAAGCTAGGCTAAAATTATCTAATTATTTATTTCAGTTAATGTTGCAAATTGCGTTGTTCCTTAATCTTCTAATTGGATTCAGCTTGTTATTTTTTGCAGACTGTTAGAGCAATTTTATAAAAAGTAAGCTTCAACTTTCGATTATGTCAAAAACGGTTTCCAATTCTGGAGGATCTACAAAGCGAAAGCATGTTTCGATGTCCATTAAACAAAAAGTGGAATTGCTGCAAAAAATTGATAAAGGCATGAAGAAAATGACAGAGAGGTGATTTGTTTCTCTAACCATTCCGAAATCTGTTTATCAATTTCACGCTGCTCTGCGGGGGGGGGGGGAACGTCGCGGCGCACAATGACCTGGAAGTTGATCTGTCAGCACTATCCTCATTTTCAGGGCAGATGTTTTTAATTTATTCGGCTTATAATTCCTTACTAAACCTCGGAGTCTGGCACGTCCTAGCGCGGCGTGGTGCTAGTAACCCGTGGGGTTTTCCCCCGGGGTCGCTGGGTAATGTCCCGCTGCGACGGGCTCGCCCGAGCGACTGGCAGGAGCATTAGACGACCGGTGCTGCCTGGTGTCGTATCCAGGTGGTGCGCGGCTCTACTGGAGGGTAATAGTGGAGGTTGAACCTCCACGACGTGCCCAAAGGTAGAGTCGACCTGTAGTGAGATTGAGTTACTCGGAACAGGGAAGCCGAAACGCCAAACGCCAATTCCTTACTAAATGTAGTGTTTCATCTCGATGTACTCCGATATGATTTAAACCAATTTCCTCGTCATTATAAATATCACGAATACACATCAAATAGTTTTCTGGTTGCAGTTTCCTAATTTCGACTATGCGTAATGTATGCTTTACGCATGCGCGCATTGAAAGAAATGTTTAATAAAGTAAACAAAGAAATATTAAGCTTTTTTTTGTACATTTTGATACCCTTTAGATCATAATTGCTCTTTATAAATTACGGTTTCATATTTTTAATTGTATAATTTCTGCATGCCATCTTACCAGATTTAAATTGATGATCTATAATCCGGAATTCCCAACAAGTCTGGATTAAAGACTATGTATTTTATATATTATAATAAGCATTAAACTTCTGAAAGTAAGCTCTATTAAAGAAGAATTGCCACCTATCTCTAAAATATAGTTTCATTCCTATACACCTGATTTCATGAATGCAAATTTTTATACAAAGAACTTGATGAAAATGCGATTGATATATGATTTTCAATATACTTGCGGATGCACAGTTGAAAGTGAATTTTTAATATGCTTAGTACCCTAGATGCAACTTGAAAGATGTAATTACAATTACCATACAGCCACGTATAGCGCTGTTCCCACTAACGCACTCATGTTAAAAAAGTTCGCAGAAAATTTTTACTAAGTTCTAATTAAAATGTAACAATTTATTACCTAACCAATTTTTAAGCAACATATTTTTCTGTTCCTGATACGAGAGTCACTCTGCACATACATAGATGAGAAACATGCTTTTTAAAATTTATACTTATGAAATTTTAGAAATATTCAGAGTAGTCTCCTCCAGCATCAATGCAATTCTGCAGGCGAATTTTCCAAAGATTAAATGCCTCAAGCCATTCATTTATTGGAATCGATGAAAAAAATGCATTTATAGCCTCATCAAAATCATCTTCTGAAAGAAAACAACATTCATGTAAGTTATTTTTTGATTAACAAGTAGCCAAAAGTTACACATAGCTAGATCGGGCAAATAGGGTGAATGTTCTATCACTTTGATGTAGTTTGTTTAAAGAACTCAACTGTCAATCTTGCTGAATGAGAAGATGCATTGTCATGATGAAGCATGAGTCCTCTAACATTCACTTCTTAAAGAATTTCTGGAAGCCACTTAGTGGTGTACCAGTTACCTGTGACTGTCTTCCAGCTTGACAGCTTTGGCCAGTTCTGTACATCTAAAAAAAAAAAAAAAAAAAAAAAAAAAAAAAAAAAATGCATACATTACTTTTTTTAATGGAATACTGTCTTTTCACTATTGCAGGCAAATTATGGGGAACCCAATGGCAAACATGTTTTTTCATATGCAATTCTACATGAATAATTTTATGTATGGTGCCAGATGCAATGTAAAGTTCTTTCTGTATCATTTGGTAGGTGAAGCGATTTATCATTGATTCACATTTTCCTTATGGCAGACACCTTTTCTGGGATTACTTCTGACAACAGCCTTTCTGTGTGTTCTTCATCCTGAAGAGAGTTGTGCCCTCTGTTCAATTCTGTAAACCAAATGAATACGCTAGCACAAGATGGACCTTTATTTCCAAATGCTAACTGAAGACACTGAAGACATTATTTATTTCAGTCCACTTTAAAATCATAGCACAATATTGTCATGTCAACTCCCTTTTTCCTCCTGCCTAAAATTTATTCTGTGCTAAACTATATGGAATTGGCCTGTAAAAAATCATCTGCTAGGCTAAAAATAGTTCATATTTTCAAATCTAACCGTTAATATTTTTCTGCCAATTATCATCTGCATACCTCAAAAATTTCAGAGTGACTTATGTATTTGGTAACACTGCCAAAATGCACCAAAACCCTTTTAAGCACCTGCCATAAACTGGCTCTTGCATCATTTTTTATGGCCTGAATTGCCTAAAAACACTGATATCTAGTCAAATCTCCATAACAAAGAATAGCAGAGGATAAAAAAATATAGATAATGCAACAGCTGACACATGACAAACATCTATGTAAAAATATAACCCAGTTTTTTGTCTTAAAATATTATAATCTACCAAAAAAAAAAAAAAAAAAAAGTTGAAAGATACTTTTGTTTTATTTGCATTACAACAAAATTAGGTACTCATCTGTTCCTGAGATCGGATTCAGAAATGTATGTATGCATGCCCATGTGTGTGTATATATATATATATGTTACAATAAAAATGATAAATCGGTGATTATATAAAATTACCGATGATTGTATATAATCACCACTGAATTTGGTTAATATGAAATAGAATTTTCGTAAAGTTAGGGACTTTTATCACATTCCCCATTATGAGTTGGGGATTCTATAAACTAACCGGTAAATTTGATAAATATGAAATAATTTATCATATTTACCAAATTTAGTGGTGATTATGTATAATCACTAGTAATTTTATATAATCACCGAATTTATTACTTTTACCATAACATATATATACATACATTACACACATACTTACTTATATATGCATATGTAATATGCATACATACATTTCTGAATCCAGCCCCGATAACAGAAGAGTACCCACAATTATTTTCCTGCTGCAGATTTTTCTATTTCATACCTTTCTCCCACAGATAGAATACAGTCAAAAGTCTTTATCCGGAACTCAAAGCTACAAACTTTCTGCGCATGTGTAAACGCATAACGCATTTACGCATGCGCATAATACCTTTAAGCATATGCGTTTAATGTATAACGGACGGTATAAGCTAAGCTAAAATGATCTAATTATCTATTTCAGTTAATGTTGCAGACTGCGTTGTTCCTTAATCTTCTAATTGAATCCGGCTTATAATTTTTTGCAGACTGTTAGAGCAATTTCATAAAAGTAAGCTTGAACTTTCGATTATGTCAAAACGAATTTCCGATTCTGGAGCTGCCAAAGGATCTACAAAGCGAAAGCATGTTTCAATGTCCATGAAACAAAAAGTGGAATTGCTGCAAAAAAATGGATAAGGCACATCCTTTGTTTCTCTAACCATTCAGAAATCTGTTTATCAATTTAATGCTACACTGCGGGGGGGGGGGGGCGCAATGATCTGGAAGTTGAACTGTCAAGCACTATCCTTATCTCCAGGGCGGAAGTTTTTATTTTATTCGGCTTATAATTCCTTACTAAATGTAGTATTTCATATCGATGTACTCCGTCTTTGATATGATTTAAATCAAATTCCTCGTCATTATAAATACCCCACGAAACACATCAAGAGTTTCTGGTTGCAATTTTCTAATTTCGACTAGCGTAATGTATGCTTTACGCATGCGCGCATTGAAAGAAATGTTAAATAAAGTAAACAAATAAATATTAAGCTTTTTTTTTTTTGTAAATTTTGATACCCTTTAGATCATTAACCGCTCTTTATTTCATAAATTAAGGTTTCATATTTTTAATTTCATATCTTCTGCATGCCATCTTTCCAGATTTAAACTGATGATCTATAATCCAGAAAACACGATAATCCGGAATCGCCGAAGTCCCGAAGAGTCCAGATTAAAGACTTTTGACTGTACTACCCTCCTATGATAGTCAAACTCAATTCTAACACATATCACATACGTCATGATGTTTAAGTGAACTTTTTTAATACAGGAATGACACACTCATACATATGTTTGTTAATTAAAATTCTGGAGTTTTAAATATTTATGTATTATCACAAATGTCACTCTTTAGAGATTTATGTGCTTTAGTTAACCAGGCCAGTAGAACTTAAAATGTGGGTTGCAATCTATAAGTGGGCTCAGCAAATAATTTTTGGAAAGATGCAAAACATCCTGAAATACACCTTTTCTTATTGTGTCATTATATATATATATATATATATATATATATGGGTATTACAAATTAATTTAGAATTATCAATTAATTATTGAAAATTACATATGCTTGCTTATTATTTCTGCGATATTACATTACTTTGTCTTAGCTGTCTACTTTTTCCCAAAGTCCACTATATGCAATTGGATTGCTATGTTGCAATACAGAACGTTGCAATACAGAATGATAAAATACATAAAACACACTAAACTTTCTCAGGTATATTTCTTTAAAGTACACTGGTGTGCAAATGACTAGCTATGCATATCCAATCAATCATGATCTTATCTGCAGCATAAGGAATTAAAAGTACTTTCTGATTATCTGCACTGCCACTGAAAAGTTATGAACTCACTGCGCTGACTTGGGGAGTATTCACAAACTCCTTGGTGACTTCAGAGAGAAAAATTTGTTTGGATATCCTCACATCTATTTCAACGATGCATTAAGTATCACCTGTTTTATTTTTTATCCCCTTACAAGACATTTCTCAGTTTTTCTCACTTGTTCTCTTCATGGACAACATTTTCACAGAAAAAAAAAAAAAAATCAATCAGAAAGTGGCATTTACTCTTCATCATACGTAATCTCAGCACAAAAAATGAGGTATGCATTTCAGTTACATCAGCCATATTAGACTCCATGCATGCAGAAAGCCAAGTCCAATTTTCAGAAGATAATGTAACTATGCTTATGGCTAGATAAGCTACTTTGGGATGCAAATGTCTTATCACATATATCACACTTATAAAGTCTACCATCATTGTGATTTACCATATATACAGTACAAAGTCTGAAATCTGGACGTCCATTATCCGGAATGATCTAAAATCCGGACGTCAAAATCACCAACAAAGTTTTTTATCGTAGGCTTTACGCATGCGCATTTAATTCCCCCTCTGCACATAATAAAACATCTGGAGAGTCCCGATTATTAATTTCACTTTGACACTAAATAAAATACCTTATTATTGAAGAAACAATCATTTTAGCAAAAATTTGTACGATCAGTAAGATGGCTCCGTTGCTGCGTATCTGTTTGACACATATCTCAAACCAAAACATTCCACATATATACATTGTTGATCTGATGCCAACCTGGTGAATCATTATTTATTATGCTTTCGTTTCATCACTGCATGTTTACCAAAATATGACAACTTGTGCCGGCCCTAAATAAGGTTTAAGTATATGTGGGAATTTATTTACTCGGAACTCTCATAAGCCTTAAGCATGTGCAAGAAATAGACATAAGTATAATAAATAACTAAACTAATACAATTCAAACTTAATTACAGTATAGTCTCTGCGCAATAGAAGCAAGATAAAATTTAACGGAACAACTTGTTGTTAGTCACCAAGCTCATTATAGCCAAATATGTATAGTGAAGGATAGCTAAATTTGATGATGATAGCCACTAATTTTAAAAGGTTTTCGGATATCGCAAAACAAAGGTGAAATTTTCTAATTAACGGATTTTGTAAAGAAATGTGGAGAAGCAGTAATAAATGAAGATGATATAAATGAAGTTTGTCATTGTGATGACAATGCTTCTTAATCATTAATCAATTAATGAATGGCGAAACTTGTAGTATGGTTCTAGATCCATAAAATACCTATACCATTAGTGAAGAAAGTGACTGAAAATGAGAAAATTTCGATTGACAAGTTACTCGGAATTCTCGAAAAGGCAGTTACAAGACTTCAACAATGAAACTGAACAAGAGATTATGTTTGTCTACAGAATTAAAAAGAAAGTATTATCACAAAAAAACGAAGCAACTTAAACAACTTACATTGAAAGAAATGTTTAATAAGGTAAACAGATAAATATTAAGCTTTTTTTTGTAAATGTTAATACCCTTTAGATCATAAATACTTCATTATTTCATATATAACAATGTCATATTTTTAATTTTATAATTTCTATATGCCATCTTACTAGATTTAAACTGATGATCTAATATCTAAAAAAAATCCTAAATTGGGAATCGCTGAAGTCCCGACGAGTCCAGATTTTGGACTTTGTACTATACTTTTAAAGTACCTTTATGTGAAAATAATTTATGTTGGCCACATAAACACTTTTCAGTGACACAGTGTATTTATTACCTTATAAATAGCTTTTTTGAAACATTTCTGTTGAGATGCAGGTAATCAGAATGTACTTAACTAAATTACCTTTCCATGTGAATGAATCGTAGTATTCAACTGGTATCTCCCCTCTTAGTATGTGTTTTGCAAAGTAACTTTTGAGTACAACAATGTTTAGTACATATATCACATTTAAAAAATTTTGACCAATATACAAAAACAAATGGGATAAAGTGCAGAATTGCCCACTTATATGGCACGTATCGATGTGTACATGGACAAAGTTAAGGGAGTGCGCAATGCCAAGTTTGTGCAATTCTCTGATGTTTTCTTAAGTGAAAATAGGTTGATGTGTACATGGATACCAAGTTTGTGCAATTCTTTGACTATTTTCAAGTTGACAATTTTGAGAAATGCGCAAAGCAGTGGGTTATTCTGCACTTTCTCCAACAAATGCAGATAACAGTTGCTTCTATGTGCAAATGACTTAAAGCATTTTCACATTCACATCGTTTCGCATCAAACATGGGTAATCATTTGTGTCATTAAGCTATTTTCCCATTAATATAATTTATTTCACATATTACTCCAAGGAGTTTTCTCATCAGTATAAGTACACATATGAAGTCAGAATACAGAACACTGTAAGTGACTGTCAATCATATTACCTATCCACAATTATTCACGAGTGTGGGTACGCATGTGAATGTTTAATCTACCATTAGTTCCAAATAGTTTGCAACATATTTCACATTTATATGATTTTTCACTAGTATGGGTAAGCATATGCACTTTCAAATTACATTTGGTTATAAATGACATATCACACATATCACACTTATGTGGTTTTTCACCAGTATGTGTACGCAAGTGATTATTTAAAGAATCACGACGTTTGAATGACTTACTACAAAAACTACACTTTAATGGTTTCTCATGAGTATGTATTAGCAAGTGCCTGTTTAAATCACTTTTACGTGCAAATGACTTGAAACATGTATCACAATTGTATGGCTTCTCAGTAGTGTGGATACACATATGCTGAATTAAGCTACCTTTCAGAATAAAAGACTTATTGCAAACATCACATTTATGAGGCTTTATATCAGTATGGATTTTTAAATGCAAGTTTAATCTTGACATTAATGCAAATGACGCATTACATATATCACACTTATATGGTGCTTCACCAGTATGAGTATACATATGTCCTTGCATATCAGCTTTATATAAAAAACACTTATCACACACATCACACTTAAACGGCTTTTCACCAGTATGAATAAACATATGCTTGTTTAATTGACCTCTGCATACAAATGACTTGTTACATATATCACACTTATATGGTTTTTCACCAATATGAGTGAACATGTGTCTTCGTAAATTAGCTTTGTCAAGAAAACACTTTCTGCACACATCACACTTATGTGGCTTTTCACCAGTATGGGTAAACATATGTATGTTTAAGTGACCTTTGTGTGCAAAGGACTTCTGACATACATCACAGTGATGTGGTTTCTCACCAGTGTGAATACGCATATGACTAAGTAAGCGACTTTGGAATGCAAATGCCATATTACATGTGTCACATTGATAGGGTTTCATACCAGTATGAGTTACCATATGTCTGTTTAAATGAATTTTTTGTGCAAATAACTTATTACACACATCACACTTATGAGTCTTTTTACTACTGTGGGTAGACATGTGTTCTTTTAAACTACCACTACGTCTAAATGACCTATTACATATATCACAATTGTATGGTCTCTTGTCAGTGTGACTATATTTATGGCTATATAAACTACTTTGGGATGCAAATGTCTTACTACATATATCACAGATATAAGGTCTTATGCCAGTGTGGCTTACCTTACCAGTACTTTTACAGTAGCTTTATGAGAACATAATTTATGGCATACATCAAATTCAAGTGATTTTTTATCCGTAGCTACACATAGATCTGCTTCCATAGTTCACTTCAATGTGTCAAGTTACAGGAAATGGCAACATACACGCATAAATTAAAGAAATGATGTGATAAAGAGAAGATTCTCACATAGGGTTAAAAAAAAAAATGCAGGTCTGTACAGTATAATTTTAGCCAAATACTTTAGAGCATATATTTTGTGATGACATTCTATCATGAAAACTACTGGAAGCATATATATATGCTGTACACAAAGAGCTATGAGTTTTGATTTTAATTGAATAATTTTATCCACAAAACGAACGACTCATTTATATAGTTATTATTTCATAGATTTCTATAATTTTATCTGAAGAAGATGAAGTATTTTTTCAGCAGGTTAATTACGCTGCAGTTGTTTCAATACATCAAAGACTGCAGTACTGATATCAGCATTACTTTTGCCTTTCAAAGAACTTGTTAAAACAAGTTTCAACAAACATATGAAAACTTTTATTTATATGAGAATTCACATCAGTATACTTGTCTTTATTACCTACAAAATAAACTGATGATTTCATTAAATAACATGTGTAAAATTTTTTGTTACCAAAACAGATTGTTCTGATATGAGGATCCATGATTGGAAAGCTAAAGCTTCAGTGCATATTACAGTCGCTGGTGAAAATGTGCTTTAGCCCCCTGCTTGGCGATTTTTTGAAAATCGCCAGTAAAATATCAGAATACGTTGCATAAACAAAGTTGCGAAGGCGGAGCTATGTGACGTTCATAAATAGGTGGGACTAAGATTGTGACGTCACAATGGATTCTCTAAAGATGTAGAAATAAGTATACTAATTTTTTTGTATTTCAAACTACTATAATACGGTAAGTAAATTGTAACAATTATTAAAACTGTAAACAACGTCGCAGTCTCTCATACAGGGTGAATATTTTTAAGCTTTAGTATTTATACAAATAAAAACAGATTTTTTTTTAATTTTAATTTCATATTGCGGAACATTTTAACTTATCATCTTTACAAAATTACCTTATTGCTACGTAACGACACCATCTCTTACATACTAGTAAGTAAATTGTAACAATTATTAAAACTGTAAACAACGTCGCAGTCTCTCATACAGGGTGAATATTTTTAAGCTTTAGTATTTATACAAATAAAAACAGATTTTTTTAAAATTTTAATTTCATATTGCGGAACATTTTAACTTATCATCTTTACAAAATTACCTTATTGCTACGTAACGACACCATCTCTTACATACTAGTAGTAAACAATCTTCATTATTTTCTAAAAATTTTTAAGGCTTTACATTAATAAAAAAGAAAAATATTTATGATTGAATATCAACATCATACACAGCTTTCATTTCCCTGTTTCTTAAGTTCCTAAACCACGTTGTATACTCTCTTATTAGAATTCTACACATTAATACATTTAAAAAATCTAATTTCTCACAGTGAAAGAAAATAAGAAAATATTAAAAATAAGCAATTTTAAAAAGAAAAAATATTTTCACTTACCCTTTTCAGGAAAATAAAAAGTCTTTTTGACAATGACGGCACATTTCCCTTGCATTTCCAATAAAGTAATAAATTTACATGTACAATCACTCACCTCTCTCAGCATCACAGATAAATCCATAGCGACTGTTATTTAACGAAATATATGCTGAAAAATGTTAATAACACACTGATAAAACCACTCGATTGATAACTACCAAATAACATTCAAACGGCAACTGAATTAACTGCCCAAATTACGAAGTAAAAATTCCAAGAGAAATCGTCTGCTTGGAAATTCTTTTTAACTGCAAGTATATATTTTTGAAAACATAAATTATCGTCTGCTACTTGACAATTTGTCTTCGGACATTTGTGCTCTCTCCGAAGAAATTTATTCGTATCTAGTTGTTAAAAAACGCTGTGAAAGCGATGGCTTTTCGATATCTAAAGCTACGATAAGTAATATTGTCAACGATAGGAAATTAAAAAAAGACAACAAATATAATGAAATTAAAAAACAAAATAAAATCTGAAATTTAAGTTTAAAACACAAAATACCATTAGCTTCGCTTAAACGCTGCGTGTAATTCACAACAAATGCGAGAGGTTTAAACCTCGTAGAAATTTACATTTTCATTCAAACATGGAAGTTTATTTCTCGCAAAATGCATGATTCATTTGTTAAAATTTATTTGCGTGCATACCTATTTTCTTAAAGAGATATCAGTCACTATGCATACCAGAAACAGTGTATAGAAAAGCCTGCTATAGAATTTGAAGTCAATTAAATAAGATTAAAAAATTCAGATAATTACACAAACTTGGCATTGCGCACTGCCTTGGCTTTGTCCATGTGCAAGTCGATCTATTTTTACTAAGAAAACATTAGAGAATAGCACAAACTCGGCATTGCGCGCTACATTGGCTTTTCCCATATACACATCGATCTATTTTCACTTAAAAAAACATCCCAGAATTGCACAAACTCGGCATCGTGCACAACGTCGGCATTGCGCACCACATTGGCTTTGCCCATGTGCACATCGATCTATTTTCACTTCAAAAAACATCCCAGAATTGCACAAACTCGGCATAACGCACAACATCGGCATCGCGCACCACATTGGCTTTGCCCATGTGCACATCGATCTATTTTCACTTAAAAAAACATCCCAGAATTGCACAAACTCGGCATCGCGCACAACCTCGGCATTGCGCACCACATTGGCTTTGCCCATGTGCACATCGATCTATTTTCACTTAAAAAAAATCCCAGAATTGCACAAACTCGGCATTGCGCACCACATTGGCTTTGCCCATATGCATATCGATCAATTTTCACTTAAAAAAACACCCCAGAATTGCACAAACTCGGCATTGCGCATCACATTGGGTTTGCCCATGTGCACATCGATCTATTTTCACTTAAAAAACATCCCAGAATTGCACAAACTCGGCATCGCACACAACCTCGGCATTGCGCACCACATTGGCTTTGCCAATGTGCACATTGATCTATTTTCACTTAAAAAAACATCACAGAATTGCACAAACTCAGCATCGCGCAAAACCTCGGCATTGCGCACTACATTGGCTTTCCCCATGTGCACATCGATCTATTTTCACTTCAAAAAAATCCCAGAATTGCACAAACTCGGCATTGCGCACCACATTGGCTTTGCCCATATGCACATCGATCTATTTTCACTTAAAAAAACATCCGAGAATTGCACAAACTCGGCATCGCACACAACGTCGGCATTGCGCACCACATTGGCTTTGCCCATGTGCACATCGATCTATTTTCACTTCAAAAAAATCCCAGAATTGCACAAACTCGGCATTGCGCACCACATTGGCTTTGCCCATATGCACATCGATCTATTTTCACTTCAAAAAAAATCCCAGAATTGCACAAACTCGGCATCGTGCACAACGTCGGCATCGTGCACCACATTGGCTTTGCCCATGTGCACATCGATCTATTTTCACTTAAAAAAACATCCCAGAATTGCACAAACTCGGCATCGCACACAACCTCGGCATTGCGCACCATATTAGCTTTGCCCATGTGCACATCGATCTATTTTCACTTAAAAAAATCCCAGAATTGCACAAACTCGGCATCGCGCACAACCTCGGCATTGCGCACCACATTGGCTTTGCCCATGTGCACATATCGATCTATTTTCACTTAAAAAAATCCGAGAATTGCACAAACTCGGCATCGCGCACAAACCTCGGCATTGCGCACTACATTGGCTTTGCCCATGTAGTACACATCGATCTATTTTCACTTAAAAAAATATCCGAGAATTGCACAAACTCGGCATTGCGCACGGTACATTTGCTCTGCCCATGTACACATCGATCTATTTTCACTTAAAAAAACATTCCAGAATTGCACAAACTCGGCACCGCTCACAACGTCGGCATTGCGCACCACATTGGCTTTGCCAATGTGCACATTGATCTATTTTCACTTAAAAAAACATCACAGAATTGCACAAACTCAGCATCGCGCAAAACCTCGGCATTGCGCACTACATTGGCTTTGCCCATGTGCACATCGATCTATTTTCACTTAAAAAAAACATCCCAGAACTGCACGAACTCGGCATCGCACACAACGTCGGCATTGCGCACCACATTGGCTTTGCCCATGTGCACATCGATCTATTTTCACTTCAAAAAAAATCCCAGAATTGCACAAACTCGGCATTGCGCAACCACATTGGCTTTGCCCATATGCACATCGATCTATTTTCACTTCAAAAAAAAATCCCAGAATTGCACAAACTCGGCATCGTGCACAACGTCGGCATTGCGCACCACATTGGCTTTGCCCATGTACACATCGATCTATTTTCACCTTAAAAAAACATCAGAGAATTGCACAACCTCAGCTTTTTCCAGTCTGCGGGAACAAAACTGCGTCCCGCTAGGATTGAGGCCAAAAGGAAATACAAAATGTTAAAAATAAGCAACTTTAAAACGAACCATACAAAAAAAAAAATTTCACTTAGCCCTTTTCAAGAAAAATGTAAAAGTCTTTTTTGAGGGGTTTTATATATGTATATTTAATTTATATCAGGGAGAAACCCTTTTGGATCCCTCCCTCATCTTTAAATAAATTTACTAACGTTTTATACTCCGTTTCCGTAACATATGCAGAAAAAAGGCTAAAACCCACACGGGGGAAAACACTCGATTAAAAAAAGAACCACCACATAAGAATATTCAAACCGCAACAGAATTAACAAGTAAAAATAAAAATAAATAAATAAATAAGTTTTAAAAAATGAAAGCTTTTAGATTTTACATTACGCCCAAAGGGGCGTTTTTTTTAACGTTTTGTGTGTTACCTTTCTTTATCAAATATAATGTTCTTTACACTTAAACCATAAAATTCAGTTCAACAGCAATATCGCAATATAATTTTAAAATGAGCATATCTTTAGAATTTCCGATACACAGTTTTGCACTCTGCACGTAAAAATGTTTTTTTTTTTTTTTTTTTTTTTTTTCTCGCACTGTGTTGCTGTTGCTCGCTTTGAAATCTTTGAGTTTACTAATTAAAAATTCGTTCAAATTTTACAAAATATCAATCAGATAATAAAAAAAATTCCAAGTTTGGTCTTCCAGATACCCATATTAGGTTGGAAACGTATGTTATTCAAAATTGGATGGCTCTAGGTACCGTTGTTTTATCACAATGCGAGAAACATTTATGCAGATTTTTCAATATTTAATTTCTTTAAATATAACACAGGGCGATAACATTTAGTGGCAACAGAATAACAACACAGCTTCAAAACATCGGGTTAGCCATGTTGGCGCGTTTATTGCCCATTGAAAAACAATCGCCAAGCAGTGGGCTAAACCGCATTTCAACCCAGTCGCTTTCACAAAATCACGAACTAGGGATTGAAAATAATTGTTATTTTACTTTCTTCTTATTTTTTGAATGAGAATCCCACGTAATAAACAAAATGGAAAAAGTCTTAAACTAAAAAGTGTCAGATATTCTATTTTGCATCTACCAAGTTTTCTGACCCTCCTGCGTCTAATGGTGTACTAACCAGGGTACCTAGGCACAAGGCATTGCCTTTATCGAATAAAATTAAATTTCCTAATCCATACGCAGAAGCAAATATAAACATTAAAAAATTAAATTAGAAATATCAATAAAATTTTCTCGTATAATTGTGAGAATTATTTGTGTGTGCGAAAGCTTTGGTGCTATAAGCAAGGCCAACTTATACTCAAGGCCTGCCAGTGTGAAAATATTCTTTTGTGCTTTCGGTGGCCTCCGTGAAATTTCTACTGACCGCAAGATGGCGCTACTATTCCGCTACGCTTTGCGACGTTATCAATAAGCAGAATGGTACCCAAGACATACACTGGTGTGCAAAAATTAAGGACGAGACGGTTTTTTCAATATAACTTTGTACAAAAGCTTTCCAAATCAACACATTTAAAAGAAGCTTTAT